CAAAAGAAAGAGAGGGAGTGCAACTTGCTCTTGGGCGTCCAGATCTCGGGGCCGCCCCCGTGTGGCCCTCCCCAGCTCCCTTCCTCCGCTGGGCCTGGGGCGCGAGCGCCGCCCTCCTCTCCCTCCCCAGGTTTCTGCGGGATGGTGGCCATCTCCTGGTACGCCTTCAACATCACCCGGGAATTCTTCGACCCCTTGTATCCCGGAACCAAGTAAGTGTGGGAGCCCCGGCCTGGGGGGCAGTGGGTGGGACTCGGCCCTCACCGTCCCTGTCCCCAGGTACGAGCTGGGCCCCGCCCTCTACCTGGGCTGGAGCGCTTCCCTGCTCGCCATCCTGGGCGGTGTCTGCCTCGGCTCCACCTGCTGCCGCACTCCCGACGCGGCCCCGGCCCCCAGGTAGGGACCGGCGCGCGTGGCGGCGAGGGGGAGGGGCGGGAGCGGGGTCGCCCCACCGCTGACCCAGGCCCCTCCGACCCAGGCTCCCCTACGAGGCCTCCGCGGTGCGGTCCCCCGGCCTCGCCGCCCCCCTGCACCCCGCGGTCTCGGACGAAGAAGGCGACAGCAGCTTTGGCAAATACGGGAAGAACGCTTACGTGTAGGAGGCCCGTGGACCCCGTGCCCCTGCCTCTGCCCCCAGCGGCCGGAGGTCCCGCCAACCCCGGGCTGCAGGCCACGCCCCGACTCCGCCCCGTGCCCCCGAGCCACGCCCGGCTCTGACCGCGCCTCCTTCGTCTGACCGAGAACCTGCCTCCTGAGAACTCACCTCGGACTCCTGAGGCAGGACCTTCTGGGGCTGGGCTCTGGTTGGTTAAGGGAGCAGAGGCGACCCCGACTGTTTGTATTCTGTATGATCTATGCAGAAATAAATTTGTACTGTGAACTGTTCAGGGTTTGGGGGTGTCATGCTCGTGTCATGAAGTGGCTGGCCAAGCAAGGGTTGGCTGGGGTGCCCCCAGGGTCGTCTCAGTTCTTGGACCTCAGGCTGCCACCTGTCCCTCTCTCTATCCCCTTCGGACTGTCTCATCCGAAAAAGAGAGGAGGGGTTGCAAGTGATTTCAAGAGTGGGGCACCCATGATTATGGCCAAGAGTCATCGAGCAGCAGACGTGGTAAGACCCACCTCGAGGCAACTGGAAATGGCAGAGATGCCCCCTGGCCGGCCCGAGACGACAACTCACTCTCTTTACTCTCAGCTTTTCCCACAGCAGTACAAGGAGACAGCTGGTCTTGAACACTTGCTTCGGCTGTGCCTACAAGTGGACACCACAAACCAACGAGCCCTTTGAAACTGTGCGTCAAATCAACCACGTCTGGTGCAGGCAGATTTTTCTAGGGAAAGGTTCAATAACTTCCAGCAAAGTCTTTGAACGTCTCTTCACAGAGGCCTGCATATTGCTGGTGCGTGTCTGACTTGATGGTGTCCAGCTCAGACATGGCACTGGGCCCTGGGCTGGCTTGGGAGACAGGAAAACGAGGCCACAAGAGAGGGGCCTGGCGTCCAATGGAAGGAGAGGGACACCACCCCCCCCTCCCCGCCCCGCGCCTAGCCCCTGCACTGGGCTGGTGCACCATCCCATTTATTCTTCCCTCTATCTGGCTAGTGGCTGGAAGAGGTTCAGAGAGGTGAAGTGACCTGTCCAAGCTACACAGTTAGTAAGCAGTACGACCACGATCTGTTCAAGACCAAAGATACAACTGCCCTGCTTCCTGGAATTTTTGGCTTTCCAAACTCATTCCCATCAACTGAATTCACCTGTCATTGAGGGCTTTGGGAGTAAGCCCCCAGGCTCTAGCCTTCCAGTCCAGAGGGTTAGCCTCTCCTTCCCCTGTGTACCCAGGAGGAGGCTGTGCTGCTCCATCACATGACACTGGGTCCAGCCCCTACAAGCTTTTGGCACAGTGTAGATTTCCCAAAGACCCGGGTGAAAACCCATCTCCCTAGCACACAGGGAGCGGGCAAAAATTGTTCAAGGCTTTCCCTAAGGGATGTGTGCTTTTAAGTGGAGGGGTCCAGTAATCCCTTCCTAGAGGATGTCAACAGATGACTCCTGGAGCCACTTAGCTCAGAGCAATGGGAAGCCATTGGGTCCAGCTCTGTCCTATGAAGGTCAGTTGGGTATGTCCCTGAGTAGACACATCTTACACCAGGCAGAATCTAAGTGATTCTTTTTATATCAGCAAAATATGAAACAAAGCCAGTGAATTTAGGAAAGAAATCAAAGAGGGGCGCCTGGGTGGCTTGGTCGGTTAAGCGTCCGACTTCGGCTCAGGTCATGATCTCACGGTCTGTGGGTTCGAGCCCCGCGTCGGGCTCTGGGCTGACAGCTCAGAGCCTGGAGCCTGTTTCCGATTCTGTGTCTCCCTCTCTCTCTGCTCCTCCCCTGTTCATGCTCTGTCTCTCTCTGTCTCAAAAATAAATAAACGTTAAAAAAAAATTAAAAAAAAAAAAAAAGAAAAAAAAAAGGAAAGAAACCAAAGAGACTACTAACTCAGTGCAAATCTGACAGGAGTTCCAATGGAGGTGATCACAGTGAAGCACTGATGTATTTCTCCACCAAGAAATAGTCTTTTCTTCTATTTCCTTCCTTCCTCTTTTTTTTTTTTTAAAGTTTATTTAGAGAGAGAGAGAGAGAGAGAGAGAGAGAGAGAGAGCACGCACATGCAAGCTGGAGAGGGGCACAAGGAGAGGGAGAGAATCCCAAGCAGGCTCTGCGCTGTCAGCCCCAATACGGGGCTCGAACTCACGAACCACAAGATCATGACCTGAGCCAAAATCAAGAGTCGGCTGCTTAACTGACTGAGCCACCCAGGTGCCCTTCTATTTTCTTTCCTGCATGTACTTGTTTTGTTTTTTTAAGTAGGCTCCACGCCCAGTGTGGAGCTTGAACTCACGACCTTGAGATCAAGAGTCGCATGCTCTACTGACTGAGCCAGCAATGTTCCCCCTTGCATGTACTTCTTGATAGAGAGGGAAATAAAAAGGTTAGGGCCTAGAAAAGTTTCCTTTCGTGGGAGGGAGACACAAATTGAGGCCAGAAGTTAGATGCCAGCAAACTGGGTTCCTGGTGTCCCAGTTACTATTGCTTTCTAACCATCCCAAGACTCAGTGGCATAAACCATTTGGTTATACACATGGATTCTGTAGGTCAGAATTTGGAGTGTGGCAGGGATGGCTTGTGTCTGCTCCATGACAGTGAGGACACAGTCATGAAGACTCAAACAGCTGAGGGTGATTCGATGCCTGGGTGCCAGAATTGCCTGGATGTGTCTTCACTGTCACAATGGAAGCCTAGGCTAGAATGGCTTCAAGGCTTGACTCAGCCACCTGCGTGTGGCCTCTCTGTGTGGCCTAGGCTTCCTCATAGCAAGGCGGCTTTAGGATAGTTGGATTTCTTGATTTTTCTTTCTTTCTCTGCCTCTCCCTTTCTCCTTTCCCTTCCTTTTCTTTCCTTTCCTCCTTTCTCTTTAGTAGACTTCACACCCAGCGTGGAGCCCCACACGGGGCTCAAACTCATAACTCTGAGATCAAGACCCGAGCTGAGATCAAGAGTTGGACTCCTGGGGCACCTGGGTGGCTCAGTCAGTTGAGCATCTGACTTCGGATTAGGTCATGATCTCACAGCTTATGAGTTCGAGCCCTGCATCGGGCTCTGTGCTGACAGCTCAGAGCCTGGAGCCTGCTTCAGATTCTATGTCTCCCTCTCTCTCTGCCCCTCCCCTGCTCATGCTCTGTCTCTTTCTCCTTCAAAAATAAGTAAACATTAAAAAAAAAAATTTTTTTTTTTAAAGAGTTGGACTCCTAACCTACTGAGCCACCCAGGCGCCTGGAGGATGGCTGGATTTCTTACATGGTGGCTGAGGGATCTAAAACTCAAGTGTCCTAGTTGACAAGGCAGAAGCTTCCCCGCCTTTTATCACCTATCCTTGAATGTCACATGGTCTCACCTCTGCCACCCTGTACTCGTTGAAGCAGTCAGAATTCTGCCTAGATCCCAGGGAAAGGGGACAAAGACCCTACCTTTCGATCAAAGGGTTGTCAAAAAAATGTACAGCCATCTTTTAAAACCACTTGGGATTGTCCTCAAACCGCATCCTCACCACCATTCAACTTGGGGCGGCCACCGACACCACTGACCCCACCTCAAGTCTCCAGAGAAAGGGCAGGCAGTTTCTCAGGCAGGCCCTGGGACACCTGAGCCAGCTGTAGGAAAGTCCCAAAAGGGGGGAGGAGAGCCTATAAAGATGCCTAACACCGAATTCACTGGATCTCATTAATATCTCATTGAGGTTACTTGTTCAACAAATGCTTCCTAAGCATGTGCTTTGCTAAGTTCCAACAGGATACAGAGCCTTAAGACAACAACTCCAAGGAGCTTATAAGCTCATAGCACACAATCCACTTAGAGGAGGCCTGAGTGTAAGAAGCTTTCACAGCACACAAGAATTACAGCACCCAGGGCCACCAAGAACAGAGGCCTCTATATCGTGAATTCCCCCATGCCTCCAGAAATGTCTGGGTTTTCTCGGATACTAATAATTTTGCACACTGCGGCCCCCTGGTAACAGCAGCCTCCTCTGGAGGCAGCACCAAGGGTGAGGGCTGATCTCTCTACCCGGTTAAGTATCAAGAGGATGAAGACAGGGGACTGTGTCCTCCCTCAGTCTCCTCCTGTGCCCCACCCCCAGCCCTCACTCCACTTCCCTGTCACCCAGTCCTAACTGTGCTCAAATGATACTCGGGAGAACTACAGAAACAAAAAGCAAAAGCAAATGCACCGAATCCATCATCAAAAAATGACATAAAGCGACAGCCAAAGAAGGCTGAGATGTGGGCGTGGCAGCAGAATGGGACAAAATCTTCCTCCGTCAGGGAACCCAGGGAGACAGACAGTGGGAGGGGTGACTGATGCATAGAAGGAAAACCCACGGAGCAGTGAACAGCACAGAGACCCGTGACCCTCATGCCCAAACCACCATGTGACCAAAGAGGCAGGTTCCTCCTCGGATGACACCTTTTATTACAACAGCACGCTGAGGGCCCAGCCCACTTCCCCCCAAACAGCCCCCAGGACTAGGCCTGTCTTCCCTAGCAGGTAGGACACAGCTTTGCTGGGCGAGTGAACGGCTCCTCTCTCGGTCCAGAAGAGCACCTCTCTCCTTGGCCAAGGCTTCTCCGAGGCTGAGGTGGGGTGCAGAGGGCCTTCCCCTCTGGGGACGCCCAGGCTCACACAGTCCACTTCAGGCACCTGCAGGCAGTGGAGGCCCAGGAGGAGGAGAGGTCCCGGGAGGCTGGGGGATAGGAAGGAGAGGATGTGGGCGCAGGGGGAGGTTCTGAGCTCACCTGGTCTCCTGGTGGGTGCCCAGACAGCGCACCGTGCAGTATCGGGCGCCACAGCTGACGCAGGTGTACGGGGAGGGGAAGCCGCAGACGGCACAGAAGGGCCGCTGAGGCCGGGAGGGGGGACCCGCACAGGCTGTCAGATAGTTGGGGCCCTCGGCCACGCTCAGGTTCTGTAGAGACAAGGGGAAGGCTCCACACCTCCTCCGCCCACCCACGTGGCAAACACCGACCTGGGACAAGGACCTCTGCAGGCTCCTTCCTTCCCTGTGGGGCCCTCCCAGTCCCCGGGGCCACGCCCTCTCACCTGCTCCTCTAGCAAGGCCTGAAAGTTCTTTCGGAAGCGAAGTTTAAAATGATCGCCTCGAGTTTTCTTCTTTTTCTTTCCTACAGAGGAAGAACAATTAATTACAGTTGACTCTTGAACAACACAGGGGTTGGGGCGCTGGCCTCCTCCACGTAGTCCAAGACCTGTGTATAACTCTGGACTCCCCAAAAAACAACATCAAATAGCCTACTGGTGACCAGAAGCCTTTCTGACAATACAAACAGTCGGTTAACGTATGTTTTGTATGTTATATGTATTATATACTGTATTCTTAAAACAACACCGGGGAAAACAAAATATTAAGTAAATCATAAGGGGGGGGCGCTTAGTCAGTTAAACATCCAACTTTTGCTTTCGGCTCAGGTCATGATCTCAGTTTCATGGGGTTCCAGCCCTGCATCAGGCTCTATGCTGGCAGCACGGAACCTGCTTGGGATTCTCTCTCTCCCTTTCTCTGCCCCTCCTCCGC